TGAGCAGGTGGATCCAACATATTCACGCCTCAAAGGTTGTTCACCTCTTCCCTCTTCTACCTGAAACGTTTTACTACTTGAGCCCAACATTCCCCCACTCTACCAGGCTCCAGAATGGACCTAACTTTATTAGCAAACTATACTGGCACGGATTTATCAAGTCTAACCCAATCGGAAAGAATCTGTACCTTAGTCCAGTGGGTCTAAACTCTGGTTTAAAATCCCCCACCAAACTGTACTAGAACTAGCTTGTGTTAAGCAGCTGTGATGTCCACCAGGTGCATTCAAGAAGTCACCCACACCTGAAGGTACCTGCTTCAATTAGAAAGCCTATATGTATTTTCTGAGGACTGGAAAGAGACATTACTTGCTGCGTGGCCTGTTTGGCATTGGTCAGCAGCTGTGCCCATCCCCCACTAACGTCACAACAGGTGCAGGAACTAGAAAGTGAGCTGCAAGCGCCCCCACATGCAAATACACACTGCGCATGCCTAGTCCCTCTCCACCCTCACACTGATAATGCTGAGAAACCTGAGCCAGGACAGTCCAAGACCTGTCAAGCAAAAAGCCTTTGTAGAAGAAGGATCTGCTTTCAAACTTCCTGGGTTTATATTTTCCTGGTTGAACTACTCCTGGAAGTTACCTTCCTCAGGGAATACCCGGCAGGAATGGCAATTTGTTATTAGCATTTCCTCAGCTTCTCTTACATGTACAAAAAGAAGAACGTGAACACTTACTATTAGTCTTTTCATGAAGGGGAATATTAGTCAAAGTGTAAAGCATCAGGTTATCCAACAATTTCTTAATGGGAAACCAAATAATTTCTTCTCAAGCGTTACTTTTAGAGATGCTTGAGCTACATTATTTGTTACTTGTTTGTTTGTTTGTTTGTTTGCTCTCTTTTTGAAACAGGGTCTTGCTCTGCAATTCAGGGTACCCTTGAGCTCACTTTGTAGCTGAGGCTGGTCTCAAACTTGCAACGAATCCTCCTGCTTCAGCCTCTGGCATGCTGGGATTACAGGTGTGCACCACCACAACTGGCAAGCTACATTATTTGTTGCCATGGCAGCACAAACAATAGTGTTGACACAGCTAAAGAAGAAAATTGGCTAGGGACTGTGATAGATGCACATAGCACCAGCTACTCAGGAGGAATAGGTAACAAGTTCAAATCCAGCCTGGACAACTTAGTAAAACAAAAATTGTCTCAAAATTTAAAAAGTGCTCTGATGTAGCTCAGCTCTCCATGGTTTGATTCTAAGTATCACAGAAAGAAGAAGGAAAAAGAGAAAAAGACAGAGGTGGAGTAGGAAGGGAAAAGGAGAAGGAGAAAAGGTGGAGGAAGAGGAAGGAGAATAGGTCAACCAGAAACGGGCAACAACCCAAGGAAAAGGGAGACATGCTATTACTGACAGGCATGGTGCCACACACAGCACGTGTCCTCTCTTTTTAAATATTCACTGCAACCCTGGGAGAGAGGTCATACCATTAGACCTACTTCACAGATGAACAGGCTGAGGCACAGTGCGGCTGATACTCTAGCCAGGAAGCTGCAGAGCTGTCCTACTCTGGTGCCCCCGATGTTTAGCACTTTGTTAGCCTGCTTACTTGGTCTAAGCTCAGCGCTGCCCAGCTAGCAGGTCATAATACCACTGGATACCAAACTCTGAGTTAAACATCTTTTGTTTGTGTGCCTACCCAGCAGCTCTCCGTCTAACTTGGCCTCCTCTGCTATCATGAAAACAGAAAGGATTGTGTGAGTCCTTTGACAGCTGCTTCTGGAAAGTGATGAACTATCAGTGTCCTCCCTACCTCAGGCTCCTGAATATGCAATTACAAGAGCCATCCCTCTGGACCCGAGCCTGCCCCCAACTTCCATGCTGGGACAGGTCTAGGGATTCTTCAGTTCCACGCAGCCTGCTCTATGCAGCCTTCCCCCGTTCCAAACTCCAATTTCCTCTGTTTCCCCACAGCTCAATTTCACATCTTAGCTACGAAAAGGTAGCAGAGGTACATGCTTGCTAACACTTCGACAGTCTCAGCCTTCATTCAAGAACACGCTGCTCTTTCCTCTCCTTTCTTAGACATGTGTGTGATTTTCTTTTCTTTCTTTTTTTTTTTTTTTTATGTATCTAGTACAGGTCTATAGGGTCTCATTACTCAGATCAGACTCGTAGTGGTACTCTTGTTTTCAGCCTCCCAAGCACTGGGATTATAGGCACGCAAAACCATACCTAGTCTTATTCGTCGCCTCAGCACACGCTGGGAGCAGAGCTGACACAGCATGCTGGAGATCAAGCCCTGGTCCCTGCACCTGCCTAAGCAGGTACTTTAGTCCACTGAGCTATCTGCCTGGCCTGACATGTGTATCTTTAAAAGCAAATGATTTCCCAGGATCCCTGCTCCTTAAAACCCACTGACTCACATAAGGGCCAATCTGAACATATGGCATACGTTTAAATCAAAGAAATCATTACAGTAAAAGACACATTGTCATTAGTCCCACTCCAAATGCTCTATTTTCACCCATCATTCTTGCCACTTTCCGAAGCAGTTCTAAAGGTGCTTTTCGGTGAGTCTTTGTAAGGTGTGATCAAGCACATGGTGAGCGTGGCTCCCAAGTGCCATCCAGTGGAAAGGCAGGCACGCACAAGTATGGTTGTCCCCATCCACCTTGTTTACTGGTTTGGCACAGTGCAAATTCTAGCTCCTCCCAAGGTAAAAATGACTGGGAGAGGCAAATGCTTAGAATCAACTCAGGACGTTGAGACAGCCACAACAATGTAGCTAGAGACACTCACGGGACTCCCGAACTGCTTCAGATAGAGCAAGAACAATGGAAGAGGTACGCTGAGGTGAAGGGGAGCCTGAGGGGGATTCCAGGTCCTGTGTCTTTTTCTGTAGCTTTTTTTTAATTTAAATTTTTTAATTTTAATTTGAATATTTTTCAGCATACTACTACATATATGTTACTACTATATCAGCTCTTCTTTGTCCAGTTTCTGGGGTCTATTGAGAGGAAAAAACAGCTGAACTACCCTTCAGTCATCATGCAAACAAAATCTTAGGTCAAAAATCATACACATATAATATATATATTACACATATACAGTAATGCCTTGACTCACAAATGCTTCTGCTCATAAACAGTTCATTTCTCGAACAAGAGTTCCAGAAAATTTGTCACAAAGCTCACACCAGGTGACAAATACAACTGTGGCCATCTTCCTCAAATGAACACAAACACAACCATCTTTCCCAAAATTATAAAATAAATTAGGTTCCTTAACCCAGTACCAATAGATATATATACACATAGATAGATAGATAGATAGATAGATAGATAGATAGATAGATAGATATAGAGATGGAGATATATAGACATAGATATTTATATAATCTACTCTAAACTACATATCTATATATTTTACCTAAGGGAGCAGGCTCTACCTGGCACTTAGCCTTTACCAGGTCCTGGAGGGGTCTCTCCCCACAAAGAACTGCCCCACCCACACCCCCCTAAGGTGCCACTCATGCAGGCCTGAGCCAGATCACAGAGAGAGCTTGTGAAGAAGAGGGTGGCAATCTTAAGGTCCACAGCTGCTTACCTGGGTCTAACAAGAAAAATGAGCCCAGCCTGGTGGGATGTTCTCTTGGCAATTGGACTAAGAAATTCTCAGGAGGGACTACTGAATAGTTGTGCTGAGGGCAAAGAGGGATGTGAGATCTGGGCTAGGGTAAGCCTAACAGATTTTGACATTGTGAGGAACCGAAAGTCACCACAGAAGGTGAGAGACACTGCTGGAAACAGAATAGACCCATGGGGAAAAGCATGTGCCAAGTAGACCTGCTTTCATGAATCTGGTTTTTATAAGTTTGACAGAGAAAAGATAAAGGATGCCTGGGGCTTGAGAGGCAGGGAAGACAGCCTAATAATCAAAGGAAAGTAGGAATGGATAAGTGATTGCCTCCCACCCAAAAAAGGAAAAAACACAAAAAGCCAATACTGCTACCTCTGTAATAACACATTGTTCTAAATTCTCACCAGTAACAACTGCCTCTAGGAACAGCCAAACTCCTCACCTGGCCCCCACTACAGAAAGACGGAATCTTTCTTCTACCAGGGGCGGGTTTATACTTTTTTCTGCAGATTAGCTTCACATAGCTGCTCATATACCAGAAGAGGAAAAGAAAAGAGATTCTCTCTCTCATATGAGAGAGAGGAGAATTAAACAGGGACCCAATGCCCACCCCACCTGTCTGGACACAGCCGGCAGCCACCACCCCCGCATCATGGCCACACAGGGCTCCTTCTGTCGTTTCCACTGATTACCATGCACTGGGGATAGTCCCGACCCCAGCGAGGCAGCTTCTTCACTTTCAGCCCAACCATGATCTCGGATTATGTGACGCTTCCCATTTCCCCTCCAAATTCCAGGGGCACCCTCTTTCTGCAGGAAGCAAGCTCAATTATTTTCCACCAGGGCTGCGTAGGTGTCTTTCCCCAACTCTTGCTGAATCCTCCACTCTCACTGCAGAAGCTAGACACTGAGAGTGGTGACAGAAAAGGCAGCCAAAAGTAAAATTAGAGCTGGGGAGATGGCTCAGTAGAATAAGTGCTTGCCTGGCAAGCGCAAGGGCCTGAGTTCAATCCCCAGTTCCACCAAAAAAAAAAAAAAAAGTAAAAGTAAAGCCCAGTTTCCAAGCCTTGCCGACAGCGCAGAAATGACTTCATACCTTCATGCAGCCACAAGCACAACAGTGTAAATGTAGCACTTGGCATGTGGCCCACGGCTCTCATTATATTACAATTATACCCAGATGTCAAATATCAGTGCTGGCATTTAGAACCTATAGAGTTGGTGAGTGTTTAAAATGGATCATGTCTGCCTTCCGCAAAAGTTTAAGTGAAGAGAAGACAGGTCTGTTTAACCCAGCATGTGGTTTTTTTTTTTTTTCCTCACTAGTCAGTGACAAGAAAGAATTATACCAGTACTTACTATTTATAGCTCATGGCCACATCCACAAAATACTTCCTCCTCTGTCGATAGATACTGTCCTTAAATCCCTTAAACAAAAAAAGAGATTAAGTTATTTGACAAAGTGCCAAAAATTAGCTGCAGAAGGCCTAAAAGAAAATCACTGTAGTGTTTATCGAGGGTTCAATTCAGATGTAAATCTTATCCTCAGACGACCAGTCTTGATGACAGAGGCAAAGGCAAATTGTGCTTACAGTAAAACCTCATTCCTTTTGGCCTGAATTCAGGATGTGTGGGAATTCAAGCAAGTCTACCTTTCCAATGAGGAAGCAGAATAGCTTAGTTAAACAAATTGATATTTTGAACAGTATCTTCTGGTTTTCAAATAGCAATTGCATGTAATTAATCTTAATCACAAGTCACACTTGTTCTATTTATTAAAACAAGTCTCTTTTAATGATTATTCAGTAAGTTCACTGAGTTCTAATCACTCCATGTAAATAATAAATATAACATTTACTAAAATCTCTGTTAAAATAATCGTCAGATGCCCAAATTAGTATGAATTAAAGAGGTTTTGCTGTCATTTATGACTGCAGCCATGCAACCTAAAATCGATAAGGGATCCATGCCAGGGCAGCGGGTGGGTTGCATCTCCTTGTGAGCTAGTTTTTCTACCATGTCGCAGCCAACTCAGTTAGGATTTTTATCTAGCATCATCTACTTGAGAAATTAAGCACAATGTCTGTCATTTTTCAGTCAAGAGGAAACCTTCCGAGAAGACTTCCCATTTTACTCAATAATTTGTCCTCTTGCCAACACTTTCCACTTTCTTTTCCTCCCTATCCTTCTGGTCAATTCTTCCCAGGGATTTTGCTGCTGCTGTAGCTACTGGGCAATCAGAAGAAACGGTTTCCAATTAACTTCTTATCTCTACAACCTCACAGCCCCTAAGGACAACTGGAAGGCAGCTACCTTTATTCATGGAGGCCAGGCAAGAAGACAAGTCATAGGGACCATGGTGTTTAAGGGTCAGAGAGTAACCCCAGGGCCTGTAAAGGCCTATACTCCCTATGCAGCAACACAGACATTTCTGCAAGGTGGACTGATGAAGAGGAACCCCCAAAACACTAGAAAATCACCCTGTTCTCTTATTTCACTAACAGATAACAGGCCTTAGAGACCGGGAATCTTCTCAGGGCAGTCCACTACACAGAAATGAAGAATGACCTTCCTTTCAGAATAACAAGAGAGTTCCTAATAGGGGGGAGAAGGAATAAGTGCCTTGAGATCACCCTAATGCTCAGTAGAAATGATGTCTCAAAAACAAAACAAAAAAAAAAGAGAAAGAAAGAAAGAAAATGTATGGGGCCAAAGAGGAAAGTGATCGATGACATAGAGTGGGCCTAAGGAGAGTCACATGGGGAGAAGATACTCTCTCAGGCTTTCACAGAGAGC